AGCTGCTTTCACGTCACGGCCACAGGGGCCACGTCAAGGCTAGGGCCTGTCACAGGAGAGCTGCCAGACCCCAGGTCAGGGCCAGAGGCCACGTCCCAACCTCAAAGCCTGCGCCAGGTCAGGATAACAGCCAGAGCCCACGGGTTCGTGAGGCAGAAAGACAAAAGCAGCAACCCAGAATTCTGTTTCAGAGAAGAGTCCTACGAGGTATAGAAGTCCAGGTCCCCCTACGACGTTAGGACTGGCCCTGGCAGCTGCCAGAGCCCAGGTCAGGGCCAGGGACCACGTCCGAAAGCAGCGGTAGGACTGGCCACGGGCACGCGCGCCACAGCAGCCAGCGTCAGGGGCCAAGGGCACCAACCAGGGTCAGGCATCGAGCTTCTGGCAACGCTGACTGGCTTCTCGCAGTGCTGTGTGTGTTGCGCTGTCGCAAGACCGCGCACATTCACTTCTCAAAGTCCTCACTTTCCTCCGGTTCTTTTTTTGCGGTTAGTTTTTTGTTTGGGACATTCCACGCTTGGTTGGGGCACGGTTTCCCGGAAGGCGATGCGTGCGCAATGCGCAGTCGGCCAAACGCGAGGCTGGACCACACAACGGGTGCGGCAGACTGGGCAACGGTGTGCGTAACGTCGTGTCGCTGCGGCGACCACCCCTTCTTGGACATGAAACTGATTGCCACACACCGTTCGATGGTCCACGCGCCCAGTGTGGATTGCACTGGACACATGGGTTTTGCACCATGGACAACAATATCTATGTTTTTTCATTGCCACTTGACCGTCATGGACATGGAAGCGTTTCCCACAGGTGCCGCGGTGATCCACCCTGCCGGTGCGTACCGTGCTGCGGACATGCGTGTTGCAGCGGGGGCAAACGTAGTGGTAGGCTTGCTTTGGAGTCGACCTTGCGCGTCCGTTGGGACGTCGCGCTGCGTCTGTAGTGGACGGCGCCTCTTCTCGCGCGCGTTTGCGCGACATTCGCGGGGAGATGCCTGTTGCGCGATGTCCTGTCGGTGCGGTGTGTCGGTGGACCTGGCTAGGCATGCGCAACGGCTGTGTGCCCTGCTGTTGCGTTGTCGAAGCTGCTGTGTCGTGCGCCAGACATGGCACTGGCGCTGTGAGGGGTTGGGCGATACGCGCGTCGAGGCTTTCGAGGATAGAGAGCCGAGCACGGAGGCGCGCGAGTCTGAAGTTGGTGCGCGCAGCGAAGCGACAAGCGACGAGCAACCCGATGCAGCGATTGCACGTCTGGTGCCCGTGTGTCTTCGCTCCGTGGTGGCCGAGCCAAAGCCGAAAGTGGGAGCGTGATTGACGGTCTCCGCAGTTTGCGCAACGCCAGAACCCGCGTTCTCTGGCAGCGCACTCGCAACAAATGCGTCGTTCGGCGCGGCGCGTTTTCCACGCTGCTGCGCCAAAAGCGGCTTCCGGCTTGCGCTGGGCGCAGCGCGCGCACGGTTTTTGCGTTTCACACGTGAGACACACACGAAATATTAGAACTTCACTGTCTGTCAGCATGTGTCTTCTACGTAGCTGTTGACACCCTGTGCGTCTGTTTCCTTTCTCTTGGGAGTCAGCAAGCATCAAACATGCTAATTCACAGTAGCAACCAGTCACTCGAACTTACGCATACTCTTACTCCTAATGGGCTAGAGGCCAAGTTTGGCAGGGTCAACTTTCGCCGATCTCCCGCTGAACTTTCGCCACAATTTCGCCTTTGGCGGGGTCCACTTTTGTAGCCAATCCACCCCGACCCAAAACAGGAACAAGAAAAGTTGTCGTCTCTCTCTGCCCTGTTCCCCCTCGACCATCGCGCCTATGTCTGACCCCCTTCCCTGCCTCCTCCTCTCCTACACGCAGCGACCGAACCAGACGCTGCGCCCTCCCTGCTTTCTTCCTCGCCCTGCCCCTGCCTCGCCACAGCGACCGAAACAGACGCTGGGCCCTGTGCCTTCCCCCTTCCCTCTCCTCCTCCCGCTTGCATACACGACCCCCCCGGTCCCTCCCCCTTTCTCCGCCCTTCTCCCACTCCACCCCAATGACCACACCTGACCCCGTCCCTGCCTCCTCCCCTCATACACGCGGCGACCGAACCAGACGCCACGCCCCCCATGCTAGTTTTCCTCCTCGACCTCCCCTGCCTCGCCACAGCGACCGAAGCAGACGCTGGGCCTGTCCCCTCCTCCTCTCCTTCTCCTCCCCCCGCTCGCCTCTCCATATCCCTCCCCCCTCTCTGCCCTGCCTCCCCTCGACAACAACGACCACCCTGCTCCCGTCCCTGCCTCCTCCCCTTCTAGACGCGGCGACTGAACCAGACGCCGCACCGCCCCGTTCTTTCCTCCTCGACCTCCCCTGCTTCGCCACAGCGACCGAACCAGACACTGGGCCCTATCCCCTGCTCCTCCCCTTCTCCTCCTCCCGCTCGCGCCTCTCCACATCCCTCCCCCTCTCTACCCTGCCTCCCCTTCACCACAACGACCACCCCTGCTCCCGTCCAAGCCTTCTCCACTCCTACTTCCCGGGGTCGGCGGCACGGGGGCGTAGCCCTTAATATATAGATATGCTATCCTATGAGCAGTAACAAGTTAAGGCGTAAAATAGAGTGTGTCACGTTGAGCCCAATGTGAAAGTTTGCGGCAAAGAGCATAAACACAAACTCATGGGCCCAGAAAGAATACTCAGACTCAACCCTTTTCGTTGAGGCCGTTAGTCTCGACGCGCTGCGGCCCACCATCTCTTGGGCCACGTAGACTCTACGGTGGACCAGTTGAGGTCGTTACAGCGGTAACACGCCCGCCTGCTTTCAAGTTGCTATCTTTACAGCTGACCCCGTCCATGATTGCTGCGGAAGAAGCATATGTATGCTGCTGGCCACTTTGTGACGCAAGTGATGCACTATTCAACCTTAGTGGCGTCCCTTGAATCACCAATGCCCTTATAATAAACATGCATTTTGACTACATGTTGCCCGCCGCCCTTTTTCGCTCTCCCACACCAGACTCTGGGATACCCCCACCCGAAAAGCGCAGGCTCGCAACCACCCCTCCACACACACCCTAATACTCACTTCGGTCGTCCATCAAGCACTCGTTCCGCCTGCACATTGTTTGGTTTATATATACATATATATACATATATAATGTATATTTATACCATATCGGTATTGATAGAAGACTGACAATCCGATCAATCCCTACCATACACTTCCGATCCCACGACCTCCAACCAGGTAATGTGCCACACTGGTGACTTGCGCTGGTCAGTTGAGTGGGTCGACCCTAAAAAACACCACCTCCGCTTAAGCACCGGGAAACAAAATGCGCGCACGTTTTGTCATGTTTCCTGTCACGCGCCTCCCTGCTTTGGGAGCGAAACTGAAGGCAGCACACGGCTGTTGGAAGGAGTGCATGGTTCAGGATACCCCTGCTATCAGTGCAGCTGGCCTGGACTCAAAGTTCAGTCCTTCTCCGTTTGGATCGTACCCAGTCTGGTACCCCGCGTCGTACCTGAATACGTTTGCCATCGCACTTTGTGTCCAAGTGTTCCACATACTTTGAATGCTGTTCGGTCCAATGATATATTTTGACTTTGGCCTGAACCTCTTTACCAGTGCCCATCTTATCATGATGCGTCTGCGCCTCCTTCAGGCAGTGCAGCCTGCGGTTGTCGTTCGAGTACAGCGTGCCATCCCACTTCACAACTTCCAAGGTAAGCCAGTCATCCCTCGTTGGGTCGCATTTGCCCTTGATCAAATCTTGAATCACCACCTCGAGGTCTTGTCCTTGATAAGGCCCACCCCGGAATGTGGCAGAGCATCCTTCTTGCGTAAAGCGGAGTACACGGACTGGTACCAGAGCCTCCTCTGGGGGCTCATCTTTGGCCATTGTAGCTCTCTGCCCCACCATTGCCAAGCGGATGCGGTGCAAGGCTTCTTCTAATGGTAGATGTTCGCCCTGTGCTGTGATGGCCCTGTAGATTTCCACGCCGTGGTGATCACCCTCCAAGTCCACAGCAACTTCTTTCCCAAATGACTGGGTTTCATCGTCCCGCACCTTGGAATGCTTTCTCGCTTCGGCGTGTTCGGCATCTGTCCCACCACATGGATTATTCACAAAGGCCAAGAAGTCCGCTTTCGGCTCTGGTCTTAGCACCCATGCCCAAACCTTAGACGTGCTCCATATGCAAAAAAAATAATGTTGTTCAGAAATAGGTGTTTAGAGGCATACTTTACACGTTTCATGTTCGCGATGCTCCGACCTAGTTCTGGCTTTGTTGGTTGTCCCAGCGGTAGGCATTCTAGCATGCAAGAATCTTAGAATTTGCTTTGGACCAAGGCAAAGAATTCTCTGCAAATTGCCGTTGTAAACTTTCTCTGCCGACTGCGCACGGCTTGCAGCATGTCAGAAGGAAAAACTGAGCTGGCTTCTCATGCTCTCTTTTACGAAGCTCATTTCACAAATGTTTCATGGCTGTTTCACACGTGACAAAGCACAGTTAGGCAATGACCAATTAGTACGTGGCATCGTTATTTTGTTTGTGACAGATCGAAAAGCCATGTTTTCCTGTGTCTCGTGCAAAATTTTGTTTCGAAACTGAATGATTGCTTGGCGTTTCGGGAGGGAGCGAGGCAAAAGGGCGCTTTGCAAACGTCTCAACAAACCAATACGGCCATGGGTCAAAAACCTGAAGTACCACATGTACGAGTGTGCTGGCAATTGCGGGTGACTTTCCTCTGAAGACATGAAGCCTTGAAGCCTTGAAACCCTGCTGACGACCTGAAGCCTGGTGACGACCTGAAGCCTTGAAGACCTGAAGCCTG